GGATCAGGAGGTCAGGAGTTCAAGACCAGCCTGACCAACATGGTAAAACCCCATCTCTACTAAAAATATAAACATTAGCCGGGCGTGGTGGCACATGCTTGTAATCCCAGCTACTCAGGAGGCTGAGGCAGGAGAATTGCTTGAACCTGGCAGACAGAGGTTGCAGTGAGCCGAGATTGCGCCAGTGCACTCCAGTCTGGGCAACAGAGTGAGACTCCATCTCAAAAAAAAAAAAAAGAAAGCAACCCAACCAACCAAACAAATAAAAAACAAAACTTTCTAAATCTCTTACTGGATTTCAACCAGGACAAAAATAAAATAGGTGTCCATTCAGTTTGTCTAGTTCTGAAACTAGCTCTTTTTTTCCCCAATTGTGCACACAAAATGAATTAATTTAGACATTTGAAAGGATCTCATTTTGGCTACTGCTGCTTTTGACCATCTTGGGTTAGGTGAGTTCTGTTTCCTAGATATTTACAAGAGGACACCCCATAAATGTTATACTAAGTCCAGCTGGTGTTTTACTTGCTCACTCGTGGAGCTCAGCTCTTGAGACAGAAGTCTTGCCGATGCCCCTGGCCGAATAAACCCCTTCCTTCTTTAACTGGGTGTCTGAGGAGTTTTGTCTGCCGCTCGTCCTGATACAGAAATGTGGAAGCAGCTTTGGAACTGGGTAACAGATGGAGGTTGGAACAGTTTGGAGGGCTCAGAAGAATACAGGAAGATGAGGGAAAGTTTGGAACTTCCTAGAGACTTGTTAAATTGTGGCCAAAACACTGATGGGGATATGGACAACGAAGTCCAGGCTGAGGAGGTCTCAGATGGAAATGAGGAACTTACTGGGAACTAGAGTAAAGATCACTTTTGTTATGCTTTAGCAAAAAGGTTGGATAGTGCCCTTTCCCTAGGGATTTGTGGAACTGTTAAATTGAGAGAGATGATTTAGGGTATCTGGTGGAAGAAATTTCTAAGCAGCAAAGTGTTCAAGATGTGACCTGGCTGCTTCTAACAGCCTATGCTCATATGTGTGAGCAAAGAAATGATCTGAAACTGGAATTTATATTTAAAAGGGAAGCAGAGGCTGGGCATGGTGGCTCATGCCTGTAATCCCAGCACTTTGGGAGGCCAGGGCGGTCCGATCACCAGGACTTCGAGACCAGCCTGGCCAACATGGCGAAACCCTGTCTCTAATAAAAAGACAAAAATTACCTGGGCATGGTGATGTACACCTGTACTTTCAGCTACTTGGGAGGCTGAGGTGGGAGGATCGCTTGAACCTGAGAGGCAGAGGTTGCGGTGAGCCAAGATTGTGCCACTGCACTTCAGCCTGGGCAATGGAGTGAGACTCTGTTTCAAAAAAAAAAATGTAGAGGGTAAATTTATGTTATCTGTTTTTTATCATGTGATGAATACATATTTGGTCTCTGTTTCTTTTTCCTAGGATACAGCTCCTAAAGCCCTTAGAATCCTTGAAGTAGTAAGAGTGTCTTTTGCAGGCCAATGGGATGACTGGTGGTTGGCGGCCCCTTGACGGTTTCAGGATGGGGGCTGGTCATGAGAAAGACCAAGGCAGGATTAAGATTGGAACTTTCAGCCTCCTTCCCCCTATCTCCAGGGGGACAGAGGGGCTGGAGACTGAGTTCAATCACCAATGGCCAATGATTTGACCAACCATTCCCTGGTAATGAAACCTCTATAAAAACCCCTATATGGCAAAGTTTGGAGAGCTTCTGGGTTGGTGTGCACATCATGTGGTGGGAAGGTGGTGTACCACAAACTCCACAGGGACAGAAGCCCCTGTGCTTTGGACCCTTTGCCCAATGTACTTTTCCATCTGGCTTTTCATTTGTATTTTTAATAATAAACCAGTGATAGTATTTTCCAGGGTTCTGTAAACCATCCTAGTAGACTGTTAACCTGAGGAGGTTGTGGAAATCCCCAACCATGTAGCCAATGCAGACAGAAGTGTGGGTAACTTGGAGACTTGCTACTTGAGACTGGCCTCTGAAGTGAGAGCAGTCTGCTGAGACTGATCCCTTCTTTAACCTTTAACCCTTGGAGTTCTGGGTAGTTAGTGCTGGAATTGAATTGAATTGTAGGACACCCAGTTGGTGTCAGAGAATTGGTTGATGTGGGTGAAGCAGCACTGTTGTCTCGGGTAAATACCCGAGATTCATTGTCTCACGGCCATGGAAAACTAGGACGTGGACAGACCCCACAGTGAGGTTAAAAGCAGAAGTTTACTAGGTGAAAGTGTGGCAGGATGAGCCACGGACAAAACCCCTCAGACACCGAGATAGTGAAGGGAGTGGCTTTAATCAGCTGGGAGCATCAGCAGGCTAACGTCTTATATCCGAGCTCTTCAGGTGCTCAACTTCTGTCCCTTTTAAGGGCTCACAACTCTAAGGGGGTCCGCGTGAGAGGGTCGTGATCGATTGAGCAAGCCAGGGGGTACATGACAGGGGCTGCAAGCACCGGTGGTCAGAGTGAAACAGAACAGAACGGGAGGTTTCACAATGTCTTTCCATACAATGTCTGGAATCTATAGATAACATCAGTTGCTAGGTCAGGGGTTGAATTTTAACTACCAGGCTTAGGTCAGGCAGGCCCAGGCCTGGTTTCGGGTCTGGTTCCTAGGCGCTGGGCTACCTGCCTTTAGTTTTGCTTCTTTTTCCTTTTCTGAGTATAAAACAATATGAGAGGGTCTCTCTCTTCCCTCAAAAGAAAGAGAAAAGCTCTCTGCTACAGAGAGGGGTCCTGGAGAACATGGGTTGCTGCTTCCACAGTGAAATATATTTTTATAGATGAGCTTCAGGGGGCGGCGTCTGATTTACGTAGGGCATGAAAGATTAGTTGAACCAGGTGTACCATTTGCATAGCACTTGAAGAAGCTGGCCACCCCAGCCTAATCTTTTATTATGCAGATGGGTTCTCTGCCTGGCTGGTACCATGTTGCCTGGTTTTTCACTGTACATGTGGTGACAAAGAAAAGGGAAGATGGAGCCTCCATGTTGAACATATCTGGCTTTAAGGTAGCCCTTTTCCATTGGCACAGCTGCCAGCATTCACCTGTGCAAGCTTCCAGCTTGCTTATCCATGTCTGCAGCTCAATTTTTCAGGCTGCTCTTTGTTAGAGAAGAAATGATTTGGGGGCTGCTTTTTGTTAAAAGAGACATTCCGCTGAGGACTCTGTTGCCCTTACTATCAGTCTAAATAATTTCTTTTTATCTCTTGTATCATGGGGGAAAAAATGTGTACATATTTAGTGTCAGAAGTGTTGTGAGTGAAAACAGTTCAGATACAGAAAAAATTAAATTTAAAATGGACATCAGGGACTCAAAAAGTAATTCAAGAGTCCCTGATTGTCTCATGAATTGTTTCACTGTCATGCGCGTCCATGTGATGAGATCACCGAACAGGCTTTGTGTGAGCAACATGGCTGTTTATTTCACGGGGGTGCAGGCGGGCTGAGTCCGAAAAGAGAGTCAGCAAAGGGAGATAAGGGTGGGGCCGTTTTATGGGATTTGGGTAGGTGAACGAAAATTACGGTCAAAGGGGGGTTGTTCTCTGGCGGGCAGGAGTGGGGGTCACAAGGTGCTCAGTGGGGGAGCTTTTTGAGCCAGGATGAGCCAGGAAAAGGAATTTCACAAGATAATGTCATCGCTTAAGGAAAGGACTGGCCGTTTTCACTTCTTTTGTGGTGGAATGTCATCAGTTAAGGCAGGGCAGGGCATTTGCACATCTTTTGTGATTCTTCAGTTACTTCAGGCCATCTGGGCATATATGTGCAAGTCACAGGGGATGCGATGGCTTGGCTTGGGCTCAGAGGCCTGACATTCATTATGGTGTTTTTGTTTGAATCAGGATCCAAAAAAGTTTGATATGTCCAAAAAAAGTAATTCATAGGAGGAGTTAGACTGGATATGAAGAATTTTAGTTATATTGTATCCAGTTTATTTCACTTATATTTTTCTTATAAATGTGCAAGAGTGATATAGGATTAAGAATGTATACTGAGAAGAGTCTAAAAGCATTCTTATACTAATTTATATTCATAAAATATAAATCAATGATTTATATTTAGGGAATATAAATTCTAAAGGCTAAGAAAACATGTCATTTCATTGGGAACATTTTATTTGTGATTGATATATGAAATAAAAGCAATATGAAATAAAAGCATATGATGTATGAAATAAAAGCAATTGTAGAATCTTAGGGTAGTTGAGGGGGTGCTGCATTGCTATAAAGATATATTGATCAGCCTCACCAACATGGTGAAACCCTATCTCTACTAAAAATACCAAAATTAGCTGGGCGTGGTGGCATGTGCCTGTAATCCCAGCTACTCAGGAGGCTTAGGCAGGAGAATGGCTTGAACCAGGGAGGCGGAGGTTGCAGTGAGCCGATCGTACCACTGCACTCCAGCCTGGGTGACAGAGTGAGACTCTGTCTCAAAAAAAAAAAAAAAAGAAATGAAATATTGTACTATCTTCAGTCTAGTCCTTTTCCCAAGAGAGAAAGAAAAGCACATTTTAAGTAAAAACAAACAAACAAACAAACAAAAAACCCCTGCAAAACAAAACAAAACAAAACAAAACAAAACGATGAAGGTGTGTGTGTGCTTTGGGTTTTCCCTACAGGCATTCATGATGAAGCCTAACCATGGTGGGATACTCAGATTATAGAAACAGTGGATAATAAGAGTGGTTCAACTGTGGTAAATCTTTTTTTTAACACAAAGATTTTTAAAATTTTTCTAATACAGTGAAATTATCTACTCCAAAAGTGGAGGTGTTTTATCTCTTCCTATCTGACCCTTATTCCTGTCACTTTTTCTTGTCTGCTTGTGTTATCATCCCTTTCTTATTCTCTGTTTTGATGGCAATGGCTAAAAGGTTTACCATTATATTGATGTTCACTATCAGGTTTTTGGTATATGGCCCTCATTGGGTATATAGGCTGGGATGCTTTCATATCTTTCTCTTTCATTTCTTTAGCAATGGGAACATTAAAACAATGGCTACCCAAAGAAGAAGATGAAGGGAAGGTAGAAATGGTCTCTGGCATTGAAGTAGATGAGGAACAACTAGAACCAAGATCTGATGATGATGATACGTAAGTAGATCATTTGCCGATACCTAAGTCAAGCACTGGTACAAAGTGAAAATGCTGCTGCTGAGACATTCAAAATAGCCAACTGAGACCTAGCTACAAAGATCAAGTTTTACAATGCACGGGTTTGGTTCTGGGCTCCCCATTGTTCTCCAACGGCATCATTTTCTACATTGGCATCAGTGATATTCTGTCTTAACTTCCATGGCTCCCATCGTAGCTCTTGATACCTGGTGGGGCTAGTCCTTGTGCTAGTCTTCACAGCTTTTTCTTCAAAATTATCTTAACTATTGTTGCCCTTTCCTCATCATACACTGTATATCAAGGTTGTCCAAGCCACAGCCCAGGACAGCTTTGAATGCGGCCCAACACAAGTTTGTAAACTTCCTTAAAACATTATGAGATTTTTTTGCAATTTTTTCTTTTTAGCTCATCAGCTATCATTAGTGTTAGTGTATTTTATGTGTGGCCCAAGACAGTTCTTCCAATGTGCCAGAGAAGCCAAAAGATTAGACACCCCTGCTGTACATCTTTGCATTCTCTTACAAAGTATGAGAAACTTTGTTGGGATTTTGGTGGGAATGACATTTTATTTATTGATTAAATTATGGGAATTGGCATATTTGGGATTTTGAATCTTTTAAAATTATTATTATTATTATTTGAGACAGAGTCTCACTCTGTTGCCCAGGCTGGAGTGTGGTGGCACAATCACAGCTCACTGCAGCCTCGAACTCCTGGGTTCAAAGCAATCCTCCACCTCAGCTTCCTACGTAGCTGGGACCACAGGCACATGCCACCATGCCCAGCTAATCTTTTTCATTTTTTGTAGCGATGAGGTCTTGTTATGTTGTGCAGGCTGGTCTCGAACTCCAGCTTCAAGTTGTCCTCGCACCTTGGCCACCAAAAGTGCTGGGATTACAGGTGTGAGCCACTGCACTTGGCCTAAAAATTATTTTTAATTGGCAAATAAAAATTGTATTAATATATACTTATGGTATACAACATGATGTTTTGAAATATGTACACATTGTGGAATAGCCAAATCAAGCTAATAAATATATGCATTACCTCACATGCTTATCGTTTATTTGTGGTGAGAGCATTTAAAATCTATTCTCAGCAATTTTCAAGTATACAATAAATTGTTATTAACTATAGTCACCATGCTGTACCATAGATTTTCTGAAATTATTCCACCTAAGTGAAATTCTGTACTCTTTGACCAACATCTCCTGGCTTTCCCTTCCACCTTCTCCCACCCCCAGCCCTAGAAACCACCATTCTACTCTCTGCTTCTATGAGTTTGATTGTTTTCGATTCCACATGTTAGTGAGCTCATATGGCGTTTGTCTTTCTGTGTCTGACTTATTTCACTTGGCAGAATGCCCTCCAGGTTCATCCATGTTGTCACAAACGCCAGAATTTCCTTCTTTTTAAAGGCTGAATAGTATTCCATCCTGTATATATACCACATTTTCTTTATCCATTCATGCATTGATGTGATTATGAATCTTAACATCCATAAATATAGTATAGCTCTCTATTTATGTCTCTCTTTTCTTTGTATTTTTAAATATTTTTATAATTTTCTTTATGGCATAGGTACCACTTAATTTTGTTGTTGTTGGTATTTTAAATGGGATTTTTTTGTATTTTAATTTTATTTATTTTTTGTAGAGATGGGGTCTCACAGTGTTGCCCAGGCTGGTCTTGAACTCCTGGGCTCCAGTGATCCTCCTGTCTCAGCCTCCCAGAATGCTAGGATTATAGGTGTGAGCCACTGTGCCTGCCTAATTCTTTTTTAATTGAAAAATGATGATTTTACATATTCATAGGGTACACAGTGATGTTTCAATACATATGAAGTATAGCAGTCAGTTCAGGGTAATTAGCATATCCATCATCTCAAACATTTATTGTTTCTTTGTGTTGGGAGCACGTAATATCCTCCTTCTAGTGATTTAAAACTATATACCATATTACTATTAACTATAGTCATCCTACAGTGGTGTAAAACACTAGAATTTATTCCTCTTATCTAGCTGTAATTTTCTGTCCTTTAAAAAATCTCTCCCTTTTTTCCTCTTGTGTTTTCAGATTCACTACTGCTAATGTATAGAACACTACTGATGTATCCTGTAACTTCACTAAACTCTCTTATTCCAAATTTTGGAGTCCTTTGAATTTTTAAAATTTTATTATAATTTACTTAACATTTGTTTTGAGACAGGGTCTTTCTCTGTTGCCCAGGCTGGAGTGTGGCAGCATGATCATATTCACTGCAGCCTTGAACTCCTGGGCTCAAGTGATCCTCTTGCCTCAGCCTCCAGAATAGCTGGGACTACAGGTGTAGCATGCCACCATGGCCAACTAATTTTTTTGTTTTTTGTAGAGATGGGGTCTTGCTATGTTGCCCAGGCTCATCTTGAACTCCTGGCCTCAAGTGATCCTCCCACTTGGGCCTCCCATGAAGTAAACTGTGAGCCAAATGCTGGGATGACATCATGAGCCACTGCACTTGGCCCATAATTTACTTTTAAAATACATCCCAAATTTTTTAAGTAGACCCTTTTCAGTCTTCCTACTACCTACCTCTTTATATCAGCTACATAGTCCTCCTCCCTACAGTCAACCAATCTAATCTGCTTCTTGTGTATACTTCTCCAGAAGAATTCCATACAAATATAAGCAAAAATATAAATGTAAATGTATCTTTTTATATAAATGTTTCCATAGTGCACTGTCCTGTAATTTGCCTTTTTTTTCATTTAACAGTATTATGTTTAATACATATTATTGTTTCAAAAACTAGCATATGTATAGTTTAAATTTCCAGAACAAAAAGTATTGGGCCAAAGAGCATGTACACTTGTAAACTGGATATCATAAAATTGTCCTTCGTAGAGTTTACACCTATTAACATCAGTGTATAGAAGTGCCTATTTCCCCATTCTCTTGCTCAGTGTGTTGTTAGATTTTTGGATTATTGGATAATTGATAGGTTAAAAAAAGTTCATGATAGTTTTAATTAGCATTTCTTTTATGAGTGAGGTTATCTTTCCATATGCTAAAGAGCCATCTTTATTTCCTCTTTCAGGAAAATTCATTCATGGGCCATTTTAAAAATTTAGGTATTAACACTATATTGATTTGAGAACTTTCAGCACTTTAGGGAAATTAGTCTTTTATCTGTACCATGATTCAAAAATATTTTGCTTAGTTTTTGCCTTTTATGTTGTTTATGGTGACTTGTGCCATGTTATTTTTATTTAGTTAGATTTATCAATTATTTTATAAAACAGAGTCTAGGGTTTTTTGTTTGTTTGTTTTGTGAGACAGGGTGTCCCTCTATTATCCAGGTTGGAGTGCAGTGGCGTGATCGCACCTTACTGCAGCCTCGACTGCCTGGGCTCAATCTAACTTCCCACTTCAGCCTGCTGAGTAGCTGGGACTATAGGCATGTTTCACTATGGCTGGCTAATTATTTTATTTTTTGTTTTTTGTAGAGATGATGTTTCACCATATTGCCCAGACCTGGTCTTGAACTCTTTCTTTTTCTCTTTCTTTCTTTTTTTTTTTCTTTTCTTTCTTTTCTTTCTTCTTTTTTAACATACAGGATCTTACTTTGTTCCCCAGGCTGGAATGCAGTGGCCCGATTATA